TCAAATTATTCCCTGTCTTGCAAGGATTCTAGCAATGCAAATTATATTCTCCTAACTTTAGCCTGTGATATTATATAAGAAAAAAACTTAAAGCCAATAACCAACCAACCCTGGCTGGGAAGGGGGGGGGGAGGAGGGAGGAGGGAAGTGACAGTGACACGTTTGACATGTGGGGTCAAAGGTCTAGTGAAGTATTTATTTGTTTATTTATGTCCTTTAGATTGAGTTTTTGTTTTTTGTTTATAAAATGTCACAAGTGACCAGGGAGAATATAATTTACATTGCTGGAATTATTATAAGATAGTGATTAATTTGAATATAATCATGCGAAAGTTTGCACTAGACAAAAATTTTATTAATCATTTAGTACATTATTTTGAGTACATGTACAGTACAGCTTTGCCCTTAGGACAGTGTAACGTGCCCAGAGAAACATTAGGCACGGATTATAAATTATAATGCGCCAAATTGACTTGCGCAAAATAGGAAAGATTTGCTTTAAATTAAAACATTGTCCTTAATTGTGGGTGTCGCTTTATATCAATAATCTTAAATTGAATCGCTTTAAATCGACATTCTACTGTATAATAATCCAGAATAGTTTATCTGATTTCAGATTTGCCCCCGAGGGGGCTAGTTTATTGGGCACCCCCTTACATCCTGTGCAAGGTGAAGCGCAGAAGCGTTTACAGCGCCCAACAGGGAAGTATGAAAAGTTCATACTTGCCTTTATGACTCGTACATTGAGGGCGTAAAAGCCTGAAGGGTCATAGGTTCTGTCAAGTTACATAAAGTGAGAGAATGATGAGTGTGTTGGGGGGAAAGTTCCCGGTACATTTTATCTGTTTATGGCAAAGTGTGGCAGGTCCCTAATAATGTCAAATGCCAGGCCTGTGACTAGGAGGAGGGATATCGGGTCTGGGAGGGAAGAGGTGTTGGTAACGGCTGGGGACCTGTAGGAGGAGGTCATAGGGCAAGTGAGGATGTAGTGAGAGAGGGTGTGAGAGTCGGGTTGGCCACAAAGTTTACAAACAGTGCGGTGAGGCTCAGGGTTGCCAATGTACTCCCATAGGTACCTGTACCCTAGGTGCAGTCTCATGTATATAAGCTGTTGAGATCGAGTTAGGGATTGATATTCTTTGTAGTGGCGGTTGTCGTCACCGGTTACAGCGTCATAGTGGCATAGTGTGACGCTACCCCGTTGTTTCAGGTGTGTCCAATTTTCGTTGAATGCCTCTCATTGTGTGGCGTGTATGCGAGATTTGAGATGATTCAGGGAGAGGGCGAGAGTGGAATAGTTTATCTAAAACTATGGTAAAATAAATATATATGAAAATTAAAAATCCATATGATATGGGCGTGAATGAAGCTGTGTGTTACAGCAGACTGGTATTTTCCACGCCCATGAAGCTGTGGCGGATTAGTGGGTCTCGTGTACCTAACCTGACGCAATGTTAGGTCAAGGTAGGGTGGGGGATTTGTGGTCTCATATTACTGACCTTCTGATGGAATGTCAGGTCACCCTTTCTTGACCAGGGGATCAGTGAGTCTCATGACCTGAAGATGTCTTTAATAAACACAAACCTTAAGTATTTCTAGAGAGCTTGAGATAAGTTTAAGTATAAATGAAAAAAGTTGCATCCCTTCAACATTATATTACATAACATTTTATAATATGGAGTGAGAATGCAGAAAGGTGTGGGTGATAAGGGAGATGCAGTGGAAATGAGTGTTGCCAAGAACTCCTCAAGAGCTGATATTTAACTCGCAAACACACACATGCAAATTTGTCACACAATAAGACCCTCACTCCTTCTGTTTGCTGTTTTAATTCCTGTGTGTGTGTGTGTGTGGGAGGGGAACAATGGCGAGGCAAGGCCACGCTGTATGTATTTGACGTGGCCGCCTCCCTGTGATGTCACACCACACGTTTCAGTCGCTGGTTAACTACCTGACTGAACTGTGGCATCACTTAGATGATGGTTTGAGTGTGGAAGGATCTATTTTTTGTACATAAAATATTTGCTATTGTATGAGTATTTTATGATATGCTATGTACCAATTTTATTGTTCATCACAGCAATTAAAAAAAAAAGCGATTATAGCGCTGCTGGTGTCAGACACGCGAATAAATGACTTCAGGTGCTTTCGGATTGTTGGAGTAAATTAGAATTTTCAGCAAAGGGGTTAAAGTTGGGATACCTGGAAGATTCAGATAGTTGAAATTCGGATAAAATGAATTGCACTGTAAATTAAATAAAGTCTACAACGTATTGGATTTACCGTAATAGTGGAGACGTTCTGTATACATTGGCTGGCCTGCAATTGCCACTTATATTATTGACGGACAAGGGGAGACCTAACTGAGGTGTATAAATATCTCAAAGGGCACTACTCAGTCGAGTGTTCTTACCTGCATCTGGTGGTCGCTCACCCCACAAGGGGTCACAGCTCAAGGTTGAAGAAGCTGCATGTCCAGAAAACTGTGAGGGCTAACTTTTTTGAAGTGAGAGTGCTGTGATGGCACCGAGTGTGAGCTGTTTCAAGACCAGACTTGACCAGCACTGCAGCAGGTTTAGATACATTCAGGAGCCGGTGCATGCCCAGTACTTGCCAATACTGCGTAACAAAGACATGACCGATCGCCCAAGCGGCTAACAAGCCTGTACAGTGGTCCCTCGGTTAACGAACATAATTCATTCCAGAAGGTCGTTCGTTAACCGAAAATTTCGTTAACCGAATCCATTGCTTCAATGGGATTTTGGGTAATTGGTTCCAGCTCACCGAAAATTACATACAAAGTAAAAAAAATGCAGTAAAGTACACTTACTTTGAGGTGTGTATGTAGAAGGCTCCTGGTTGATGATGATGGGAATTAAAAGTGTGGGTGGAGGAGAAGGGAGAAGAGAAGGAAGTGGGGTGGAAGAGAAATCACCCCATGCTTCATACCGTCATTTCACCCATAAAATTTTAAGTTAACGGTATAATTCAAGATTATTTTCTTTAAATCAACACTGCACTGCACTATATATTGTCAATATGTCAAATAAATTTCAGAATGACCAATGATTGTAGTATTGTAAAAACGTAAAAATACTCTGTATTCAAGAGACCCACAAGCAAGATGTTTCCTCCACTGAACAGAGATACAAACTGAGGCCTTGGTGGGTAAGTGAAGTGGCTGATGGGCGCACCAAAAACTAGTTCCCTGTAGTGCAATTATGTTAAATAAGTGTTAAAATTACTAAAATTTTTAATATAAAACTTGGAAAATTATTGAATAGTACAACCTTCTTGATATTTACTACAATTTTAACGAATGTAAGCCCTAGAACCGATTTCTGTATTAGCGGACTAATATTCCAGCTGGTGAGCAACCCAAAGCATGTCGAAACATTTTCGTAAGAATTTCATTAACCGAATTTTTGTTCGTTAACCGAAATCCAGATTCTTATGGAAGGTAATTCGTTAACTGAGGCGTTCGTTAACCGAGGGACCACTGTATCAGCCCTTTATTTTTTATATAATTATGGGGTAGTACATTAATTTTATAAAACTCCATCACCCCCTGTAACTTTCCACTACCTATGAGGCTCATGTTCAGAGCACGTCATAAGGTGTGCTGCCCACGGGAAGTCGCGTCACTTAGTGCTGAGCTAAGGATTACGTAACCGGCTCTCTGGCCACCTATTGCGGGCAGTAGTTTGATAACCCTGACGAGAGGAAGACATTATTTAGAGCCATCTCCGATGTACACCGTCTTTCCTTGATAGAGGACGTCGGATATATTTCCGTTCTCCCTCGAGGATCCCTACTCAAGATCACGCCCAGTCTCATATCAATCAGACGTATTTTAGAAGAGCTAATCTAAGTTAGCCTCCATCCTCATTTAACACTAATAGCTACAGTGATTAAGTTACGATGATAATCCTTTTTGAAAGTGTACATAGAACTCTTTTACAATAAACAAACAAAAGGAACATATTGGGTTTCACTACAGAAGATCCAATAAACTTTAATCTATATTTTAGTACGTCTAGAATATAAGGTAACATGCTTCACAAGTGATTGTTACAAGTGGTGACAACCCAGGAAGGTTGTTACATATATGACAGCTTCACAAGTAGCTATTATAAACAGGTAACAGTCACCTCAACAGATACACAGTTGGTAAAGGCAGAGATATTATGTTCTCCCCATTACTGTGTTATACTGTTACATTGTTACTAAGAAGTTATAGTTACAAGCCGATCAGTGGTGAAGAGGATTAAAGTAAAGTAAAGTTTGAATGGAGGAGGTTGTTGGGTATTACTGAATCAGTACTGAGGGAACCAAATTTTACCAGGGAGTGATGAATATTAATTTTGGTGCTCTAGATACTCTGTGGTGCAACTTATAGTACTTTATACCAAAATATTGGGGGGGCTACAGCACCCTCTCTTCCCACGTCCATGTACTGGGTGGAGTGCGCCAGCACCACCTGTCTACAACAATAACAAACACCCGACTCACCAAACGTGGAGTGCAATGAGACGAGTGTTATCTACATGGCCCCAAATATGCCGAGATTTTCCCAGAAAATTTTATATATCACAGCATTTCCCGAGTTATTTTATAATAAATTCCAAGACCATATACTGTACGTGCCGAATTATATAAAATCCAGGGATATTGAATGCGAAGTTATCAAGGGTTTACTGTATATTTATAAAACCAAAAAATCTGGAAATGTGACAATTTAACCAGACCAAAGATACCAAACTTTTGCAGTACAGTATACCAAATAAAGTTCGGTACAGTATTTGATAAATTTTTCCAATTTGTTTTATACTAAAAAAACTCCCTTAACTAAATTGACTACTTGCCAATTATTTTAATGTAGAGAGGTAATGCATACTGTATAAGAGAAAATAGAAGATTTTAAGAAGATAAGGCTGGATGGTATATCCTGGAATGAAAAGATTACCAATATAAGGGGGAAAAACTATCCATGTACTGACCTCTTCTTCTGAGCAATCAGGTCTTTGTTCAGCAATAACACATATCCTCTCATCTCTAAGGACTTTGTGGGAGAAGACGGCAATGCGACCTCGATATATAAATTTCATAGGTTCCACCGCCAAGACTGTAGCAATGATATCGTCTGTGTTGTGTTTACGGCCAGTGACTGTCATAAGGCCATCACGAGAACCACAGACAAATACTAGGCCACCCTGTAAATGAAGAAAAACATATTCATATTATAAATTGAATGACCAAATTAACCTTGGAAGAAATAATACAATTTAACTCATTCTTAAAATCAAAATACTACAGAATGTCAATATATATATACAGTAGTACCCCGATTTACGCGGTCAATTGAACCCACGGGGTAAGAGAAAACCGTGTAAAGTGAACAACAGAACATATGGGATTAATTCCAATAGAGACTGGCCCGACCCCCAAACTCCACTTTTTCCGACACAATACCTATGTTGTAGTAAAAATAACATCTTAATTTTATGATGGCATGCACACACAATTAATATTTAAGAGAAATACAGTCGCCAGGTTAATGTCCATTCAAATAATCGACTCAACTCCCCCCCCCCCTTCCCAGCTCACTGGCTCCTACCTCTCTGAGAAATCTTTGGGTGAAAACACTAGATTTTAACGTATGGTAATAAATAATACCTCAGAATTAAATTTAGGATAATATAATTGACATTTCTGGATTCCTTGCAGGTCAGGGAATATTTTTAATGTAAACTTCATATATTTTGCACAAAAGATAAAATATTTGCTTTGTGTAAACCAAATTATTACATTAGATCTAAAATTTGTATGTCTAATGCAAAATCCATGATGTTTATATTCAAAATGATCATCATATTGTAAGAATTCCAGCAATGTAAATAATATTCTGGCCCGGTAATTTGTACGAATTTTATGAGCAAAAACAAATATCTTCAGTAAATAAAAAAAAAAATATTCTTTACGACACCATCTGTCAATCAAAATACTCCACCTCCGCCCTAGCTGGGTTGGTCCCTTCCTCCCTACCCTCCACCACCTTCCCTCCCTACCAGAGAAATGTTTGGGAGAAAACAGTATATTTACATTTTTAGTAATAAATAATAACTCAGACTAAAGTTAGGATAATATAATTGACATTTCTGGGTTCCTTGCACATCAGGGAATATTTTGAATGTTAACTTCATATATTTTGCACAAAAGTTAAAATATTTGCTTTGTGTAAACCACATTATTACATTAGATCTAAAATTTGTATGTCTAATGCAAAATCCATGATGTTTATGTTCAAAATGATCATCATATTGTAAGAATTCCAGCAATGTAAATTATATTCTGGCTGGGTAATTTGTATGAATTTTATGAGCTAAATAAAAAATTATACTTCACCCGTGTACAGTCAACCCTCGCTTTACGCGGTCCCCACTTTACGCGGTACCCTGCCAAAACCGGAATGCTCACTTTCCGCGGTGCGTGTACCCCTTTAACGCGGAGAGTGGCTGGCGGTCCTCTCGCGCCACGCCATTTTTGGATCCAAACCTCCCGCCATCCGCCATGTTGTGTAAGCGGCGCGAGTAGGTTGCGCAGTGTATGTCTGTTGCGTTATCGGTGACGTCATATGACGTAGCGGACTGTGATTGGGCAAAGCATCCTTACTTCCCTCCCTGCTAGCTGCGATTGGTTTAATGTAGTACTATGACGTGCCCCGCAGCGGGAGCGTTCAAGCCCCTTGACCTACCGCGTCAGTTACACCCCTCCAGGCTACACCGTGCATATCGGTATCCATTGTTCCATAAGAATGGCTTCCACCAGACCACCACCACCACCACAAAGAAACCTTGCATTACCTGGACCCAGCCGCCCTAAGCCAAAGAAGACACGACGTTCCTTAAGCTACGAAATCAAATATAAGATCATACAAGAGTTGGAGAAAGGAACAAAACAGGTTGATCTCGCGCGCCAGCATGGTGTTAACGAATCAACTATCAGGACAATTAAGAGGGATGCAGCCAAGATAAAGGAGCACATGAACATCACAAAGTCTACAGGTGCTTCTATGATCAAATATTTCCACAACCAGGTGCTTCTCAAGACGGAAAAATTACTTGTGAGCTACTTGGTGCGTCAGGCGCAACGGAACATGGCGGTGGACACGCGCTCAGTTAAGGAGTACGCACGTGAACTGTATGCTGCAGTGTCACGAAAGATGGGAATTACAGAGCCCAAACCCTTTAATGCTTACTCTGGGTGGTTACAGAGGTTTAAGAAGAGAAACAAGATCACCAATATCAACATTGGTGATGAAGAAGCTAGTGCTGACTGTGTTGCGGCTAGGGAATTTCCTCCGTTTTTACGTGAGATTACGGAGGAAGGACAGTACACCGACGACCAGGTGTTTAATATGGACGAATCTGGTCTTTTTTGGAAAAAACTACCTTCCAAGACCTTCGTTGTGAAGAATGCCAGCAAGTGTCGGGGCCGGAAGTTGCAGAAGGAGCGCATCACCGTCCTGTTTACCACCAATGCCTCCGGTTCCTGTAAGCTCAAGTTATCGGTGATCCACACAGCACGCAAGCCGCACGCCTACAAGAACATGGACATGACCAAGCTAAATGTCCACTGGCTGACCGCACGTAAGGCGTGGATGTTCTCTACACTGTCCCTCTCCTGGTTTGATGACTGTTTAGTTCCCGATGTGAAGAAATGCTGTGAGCAACAGAATGTGCCATTCAAGATTTTGTTGCTGCTGGACAACGCACCAGGACACTCACCCCTACTGTTAGATCGTCACCCCAACGTAAAGGTGGTCTTCCTTCCTCCCAACACTACGTCTATATTACAGCCCATGGACCAAGAGTTAATCTGTAATGTAAAAGCTGCATTCTCTACTAAAAAATTCACACTCCTGAATGACTACACCAACACCAGGGAAGAGTTGCGTAACCTGAGTGACACCAAAACCGATAGCAACAGCGAAGACGACGAGGATCAACAGTTGGCAGAGCAACAAGTACCTTTAAAACAATTCTGGAGAATATTCAACGTCAAGAAAGCTGTGGACTTCTTGGTGGAGGATGGGATCAGCTGTCTGTAGCAACTGTTCGTCACGCATGGAGACATGTGTTGCAAGGCATTCCGGGCGTTAGGCAGAGTCAATCTGTGACTGGTGAGGCTCAGACTGTTGCAGTAGCAGTGGACCTTGCCAGAGAAGCTGCGCAGAGTGTTACATCTGCAGGCTTCTCCGAGACCACCAACGACGACATCCTGGAGGTGATAAGGGATCCTGATGTGACTACCGACGACATGGTAGATGATGATGACGTCAGTGAAGAGGCAGGTGGTGCGTCATCCCAAGAAGAACGCCGCTTATCCCATAGTAATGTTAGGGGTGCCATCGAGTGTATCGAGAAAGCCAAGCTCCTCCTTTCCAACAACCCTGACACAAACAGGTATGAAATCTTCACTACCCAGCTGTTGCAGACTATGGAGCCCTACATCAAGGTTTATCACGACAACATAAACACCAGCCGTTAGCAAAGCATAACAGAGTTCTTCGCCCGCAACCCACCACAGCCAGCCCAAGCCAGTGATAGTGACAGAGGTAAAGACAGTGATGATGACTTTGAGGGATTTGTCAGGGAGGCCCTGACAAGTGTGGATGACAGTGATGGTGACTCACCTGAGGGCCAGTAGCCTGCCCTCTGCCTCGGAACCAGCCTCCATTCCCGTACGCCGACCCATCTCTTCTACTAACTTAAGTGTTACACCCAACCTTTAGTTTTCCTAACCTAACCTCTTCTATATTAATTGTGTGTGCATACCATCATAAAGTTAAGATAATATTTTTACTACAACATAGTTGTGTGTTGTCAAAAAGTGGAGTTTGGGGGTCTGCCCAGTCTCTATTTCAATTAATCCCATATGTTATGTTGTTCACTTTACGCGTTTCTCACTTTACGCGGGCCGCCGTGGGTTCAATTAACCGCGTAAAGTGAGGGTTCACTGTATACAATTTTTTTTTTTTCGCGGTTTTTGTTTACGAGTTTGGTCATTTACGCGGCACCTAGCCAGAATGAAATGTTTTAATTACGCGGTAAATTTCATCATTTACGCGGGTGAAGTATAATTTGTTTATTTACTGAAGATATTTGTTTTAGCTCATAAAATTCATACAAATTACCCGGCCAGGATATAATTTACATTGCTGGAATTCTTATAAGATTCTGATTATTTTAAATACAGTCACGAGCCGGTTAACGTCCGACCGAACAACATCCGATCGCATATACGTCCGTGCCCCCACACCCCCCAAAAAAAAATCCGTGACGCCTGCAGGACCACCACTCCACGACCCCGTGACGGAGACACGATGATCTTCCCCATACTGGTCAGATATTATGTGTTAAAGGAATATGCTTCCTTACTTAGCCTTTTTTTAAGCATTTGCCTACAGGTGAAATGTTAACCTACATCTATTGAGGATTAAATCTTTCACCTACAAATTGACAATAACACATTTGCTGTAATCAGACATATCTAGTTGCCTCAACAATTGCAACCCCAGTTGCAATTGGGGTTGCAATTTCAAATTCTGTGGCATTACTAAAAATAGTAAAGTTTCTGGTGCACTCTAAGATTAAGAGAGAAAACGGTGGACTCAGGCGTCCTGATGTGAGAGAAAACGGACTCGTATGACGGGGGACCAAATAAAAAAAAGCATAGCTACATGTTTTGTGGACTACAGTATTAAGCGTACCCTTTTCATCACTATGTAATAAACCTAGCCATGCCTATGTGTGTGTTTATGATATTTACCATAACATTATATATACAGTCAACCCTCACTTTACGCGGTTAATTCAACCCACAGGGTACCGCGGAAAGTGAGAAACGCGTAAAGTGAACAACATAACAAATGGGATTAAATGAAATAGAGACCGGCTGACCCCCAAACTCCACTTTTTCCGACACAATACCTATGTTCTAGTAAAAATAACATCTTAATTTTATGATGGTACATGCACACAATTAATACTTAAGAGAAATAGAGAAATACAGTCGCCAAGTTAATGTCCATTCAAATAATGGACTCAACTCCCTCCCCCTCTTCTCACACTACACTCGCTGGCTCTTCCCTCTCTGAGAAATTTTTGGGGGAAAACCACTAGATTTTAAGGTATAGTAATAAATAATACCT